ATGCTTTTGGGGACGATGGCAGGGGAAATGAATGCTCTCTCTTTATATGAAGAATTGCGTAGCCACACCAAATGTGGAATTGTACTGGTTAAAACAGAGCTGCTTTCGAGTGCAGGGAATCATCAAGATTAGTATATTAATTATTTTATCATTGTTGTTTAATTCCCAGACACAGAGACAAGCACACTGCACTTAAAGGGCAGCATTTCACGGAGACCAGAGGATATTAGAAATGCTATAAAAAGGAAGAACTTGAGAGCTGTTTTCAAATGAGGATTAAACACAAAAGGTTACAAGGATTTTGAACGATTTTTATTAATGTGTAGAATTCTAATTACTCACACAATATTACTTACTCTGAGCTGCATATTCCTGCATGATTCTTTTCCATTTCAAAAGAAGATAAAGCATTTTTTTCCAGAGCATTAGCCCATATGTGCTTATACATGTGGAGCTTTAATGCCACAAATTCATTATTTTTCCTGGATAAGACTTTCCGCAGTAAGAGGGATTCTGGAGTTTGTTTAGTCTGCCATGTGCCACTTCTTTTGTATGTTTTATTTTCCATATCTTTCATAGAATCATAGAGTTGGAAGAGACTTCATGAGCCATCCAGTCCAACCCCCTGCCAAGAAGCAGGAATATTGCATTGAAAGCACCTCTGACAGATGGCCATCCAGCCTCTTTTTAAAAGCTTCCAAAGGAGGAGCCTCCATCACACTCGGGCAGGCTTTTTTTTTAGTTTTTTTCCAGGGGCCACTTTGCCCATTTGGTGCCTTTTAGAAGTTTTTAAGGGACTCTTTAGTGTGTGCCAGGGGGCACTTTGCCCATTTTGTGCCTTTTAGAAGTTGTTTAGTCCCTGTTTAATGTGTGCCAGGGGGCGCTTTGCCCTTTTGGTGCCTTTTAGAAGTTGTTTAGGGCCTCATTAGTGTGTGCCAGGGGCCACTTTGCCCATTTGGTGCCTTTTAGTTGTTTAGGGCCTCTTTAGTGTGTGCCAGGGGCCGCTTTGCACATTTTGTGCCTTTTAGAAGTTTAGTCCCTGTTTAATGTGTGCCAGGGGCCGCTTTGCCCATTTTGTGCCTTTTAAAAGTTGTTTAGTCCCCGTTTAATGTGTGCCAGGGGCCACTTTGCCCTTTTGGTGCCTTTTAGAAGTTGTTTAGGGCCTCTTTAGTGTGTACCAGGGGCCACTTTGTCCATTTGATGCCTTTTAGTAGTTGTTTAGGGCCTCTTTGGTGTGTGCCAAGGGCCACTTTGCCCATTTGGTGCCTTTTAGTAGTTGTTTAGGGCCTCTTTAGTGTGCGCCAGGGGCTGCTTTGCCCATTTGGTGCCTTTTAGAAGTTGTTAAGTCCCTGTTTAATGTATTCCAGGGGCCGCTTTGCCCATTTGGTGCCTTTTAGAAGTTGTTTAGTCCCTGTTTAATGTGTGCCAGGGGCCACTTTGTCCATTTGATGCCTTTTAGTAGTTGTTTAGGCCCTGTTTAGTGTGCGCCAGGGGCCACTTTGCCAATTTGGTGCCTTTTAGAAGTTGTTTAGGTCCTCTTTAGTGTGTGCCAGGGGCCACTTTGCCCATTTGGTGCCTTTCAGAAGTTGTTTAGGGTCTCTTTAGTGTGTGCTAGGGGCCACATTGCCCATTTTGTTCCTTTTAAAAGTAGTTTAGGGTTTCTTTAGTGTGTGCCAGGGGCCACTTTGTCCATTTCGTTCCTTTAAAAGACGTTGTTTAGGGTCTCTTTAGTGTGTGCCAGGGGCCACATTGACCATTTTGTGCCTTTTTAGAAGTTGTTTAGTCCCTGTTTAATGTGTGGCAGGGGCACACATCATCATAGGAGCCTTCGGTGGTGCAGTGGGTTAAACCCCTGTGCTGGCAGGACCGAAGTCTGACAGGTCACAGGTTTGAATCCGGGGAGAACATGGATGAGCTCCCTCGGTCAGCTCCAGCTCCCCATGCAGGGACATGACAGAAGCTTCCCACAAGGATGGTAAAACATCAAAACATCCTGGCATACTCACGGCAACATCCTTACAGATGGCCCAATTCCCTCACACCGTTCTTGAGTAGAGCAAATGCTTTGGGAGACGGTGGTCAGGCATCCAGACAACGTGGCCGGTCCAGCAGAGTTGATGGAGGAGGACCATCGCTTCAATGCTAGTGGTCTTTGCTTCTTCCAGCATGCTGACATTTGTCCGCTTGTCTTCCCAAGAGATTTGCAGGATTTGCAGGATTTTTCGGAGGCAACGCTGATGGAATCGATCTAGAAGTTGCATGTAACGTCTGTAGACCTGTGATCTGTTAGAGACTGGAGATTCAGCTTTTCAGACACAGGTAACCTGTTGGTTTATACAGTATTGAAATACAGAAGGTGGTTTGTTACGTATATAGTCTCTGTGTTCTTTAGTGTGGCACCCCAAATTGTGCCTCAAAGATTTCAGAGGGCTTATGCACATCTAATTCCACTGGGCTGCAACCAATAAATCCTGAGATTGGGTTTACTCAAGAAAAAAACCTCTGGGAAAAATAATGGAATCAGAAAAAAACTTAATAACAAAGATATATAAAAAACTATTAGAATGGGAATCAAAATCAAAAGAAGGAAAGATGAGAAGGTGGAACGAAAACTTTAGAAGAACTATCAAGCAAGAGAATGGGAAGAAATTTGGAGAAAAAAAATAAAATATAGCTGTGCAATTGATTTGAAAGAAAATTGGGTAAAGACAGAATACAGATGGTATATGACTCCGAAGAAGTTGGGGAAGAGTTATAATAATACGAGTACACAATGCTGGAAATGTAAAGAAAAAGAAGGTTCATATTTCCACATGTGGTGGACATGTGACAAAACTAAAAGATATTGGAAAGAGGTACAGAAAGAACTACAAAAAATATTGAAGATAAATATCCCATGGAAACCAGAATTATTTTTATTAGGAATGCATGAACTAGAAATAGAAAAAAAACGGACAAGTTATTATATTTTATGACCATGGCAGCAAGAATTTGTTATGCGAGAAGATGGAAGCAAAAAGAAATACCAGATGAAGATGAGTGCTTAACGAAGATGTTGGAGATCAGATGTGCTGGTGGCCAAGCTAGGCAGCTCGGACAAACCATTGTGAGTACGGTTACCCTCTCGCCTTTGAAACTGGTGCTGAGCTCAGATAGAGAAAGACCTGGTCTTTCTAAAGGACAGTAGCTCAGCGCTGGGGCAGGGAATATCTCAAGATTTCTCTGCCATTGATAGAGGCTCCATTACTTCATCTCCAAAACTAATCTTGAGCTTAGATAGGGGAAGACCTGCTCTTTCTGGAAGATAACAGCTCAGGGTTAGGGTAAAAGATCCCAGGATTTTTCTACCTCTGGGGAAAGATTAACGCGGTAACTGAAGGAAAAAGGAAAGAAAGAACATCTATATGGTTTCACAAATTGACTTTTTGTGTTTGTAACTCCATCAAGCTGTGCCAAGTCTCAAGGACTTTGAAAAATAAATGTTCTGTTGATGTTCAAATCTGGACTGGCCTCAGTTGCTGGGAATCTTGAGCTTCTAAGAAAGGCACCTGTGGTTCACTCAGATAAAGAGAGAAGCACATCTTAGTTTTAACTTTATAGTGTCTGCGTGTGACGGCACAGAAAAGAAAAGGACCTCTAGAACAGTGGTTCTCAACCTTCCTAATGCTGTGACCCCTTAATACAGTCCCTCATGTTGTGGTAACCCCCAACCATATTGTATTTGTTGCTACTTCATAACAGTCATATTACTACTGTTATAAATCATAATGTAAATATCAGATATGCAAGATGTATTTTCATTCACTGGACCAAACTGGGCACAAATACCCAATGCAACCACATGTAAATGCTAGTGGGGTTAGGGGAGGATTGATTTTGTAATTTGGGAGTTGTAGTTGCTGGGATTTATAGTTCACCTATAATCAAAGAGCATTCTGAACTGCACCAGCGATGGATTTGAACCTAATTTGCCACACAGAACTCCCATGACCAATGGAAAACACTGGAAGGGTTTGGTGGGTATTGACCTTGAGTTTGGGAGTTGTAGTTCACCTATATCCAGAGAGCACTGTGGACTCGCGCAATGGTGGATCTGGACCAAACTTGGCACAAATACTCAATATGCGCAAATGTGAACACTGGTGGAGCCTGGGGAAAATAGACCTTGACTTTTGGGAGTTGTAGTTGCTGGGATTTATAGTTCATTACAATCAAAGAACATTCTGAACTCCACCAATGATAGAATTGGCTCAAACTTCCCACATGGAATCCCATGACCACAGAAAATACTGTGTTTTCTGATGTTCTTTGGCGACCCCTCTGACACCCCTTCGCGACCCCCACAGGGGTCCCGACCCCCAGGTTGAGAAACACTGTTCTAGAAGATACCAGGAAGTCAAAATAGCTTCCGTGTCTGTCTATCTCTTGATTTTAGATATATAATTTTTCTTTTCTATATTCTTTCTTTCTCTTTCTCTTTCTCTCTTTCTTTTTCTTTCTTCTCTTTTTCTCACTTTTTTCTTACTGTTTGCTGACTTATTACACCCTTTTAGACACGGATCTATCGTTTTCTTCTTTTATTTTATTTCTTTTAATTGTAAACCAAAAATTTCTAATAAAGATTATTTTTAAAAAATCCTGAGGCATTCTATTTGTGAATCATGAAGAATAATGTATTAGAGACAATCCATTTGGAAGGTGACAGCAAATAAAATGGAACAGTGTGCCTTTTAAAGCCTAAATTGAACGTTCGTTTTCTATCGAATATTTTAATTGAAAAAATTAAGTTATTGCATTTGGAAAATGCCAATTAAAAGCCCCGGAACTATCACTGTAACAACTTTAATTGTTTTTGGTTTTCCCAGCTAAATGGGTTATGAGAAAATTAATAGCCCCAGCTATTGAAGATTTACTTCACCAGACACCACCACAGTTTGCACTGTATCAACATTATAAGACTGCTGATGAACTATTAAACAAAAAGCTGAGTTTATATAGTTTTATTAGTTTAAAATGAGGAAATATATTTCAGCAATCACAGCTGTCTTGCCTAATTATTCTCCAAGACTGGAAGGAGGCATCTTTTCCCCTCTTTCTACTGCAGGAATGCTCGGAGGAATTCATTGTAGGAGATTTTGGAAGTTAATGATTTGTCATAATATTCCAAGATGTGAAAGAACTCCTCTTCAGACAGGTTAATACCATACTTTCGAAGCACCTGCAGAAAACACACACAAAAAACTGACACATAGCTTATCTTTAATTAGGACCCATCTAGGAAAGTGAGCAGCAGGCAACCAAAATGGAATTGAAACATGCACACAATTCATTTAAGCAAAATTGCCTCATTCAGTTCCTCCACAGTTCAGAATATCTTAAGTCATTTTCTTTCCCAATGTTCCCATGGCAACATGGTTCTACGGCTCCTTTTCTTGCAACTTCCCCATCATAGCATTGGGCTAATTTGTGAATTGGGTCAACACAATACAACCGAGTTGGGTTGGCAGACTGACTTGGGGTATGTTTGTTCCACAGACAGAAACAGGCTTAGCTATACCTGGTACAGTAAGACATTCAGAGTTGGGGAGATATAAATAAGAGTTTGCAAAATCTTTTGCCAACCTCCACTGACTTTTTTTCTACTGCAGGAATGCTGTGTTTGCTCAAATGAGACAGTGTAACAGATATCTATATAAATAAAAATGTAATGTTCGTTTGTGGGATTAACTGAACTCAAAAACCACTGGATGAACTGACACCAAATTTGGCAGCAAAACACATTCTAATCCAAAAAAAGTATAAAAAAAACAACAAAGGGGAAATAACTTAAAACTCCCCAAAAAGAAAAATGCCTTACAGAGCATGCACAAAAGCCCCTCTCCCCATTGTGCGAGAAGAATGAAGCACCAACTGTTGTGAGGGAAGAGAAGCCTTGCCATGGAGTCCCTTTCCATGCAGGAAGGCAGAGTCCTTTTTCTTTTGGGGAGGGGAGGGATTAAGGAAAGGAAAGAGGGAAGGAAGGAGAAGGCCTGCCCCAACGGAGGGGTGGGGGCTTGGTGAGGCAAGCCCTGGCAGCAGCTGGAGCCACCGCAGCGGCTCCATGAGGCCCACATGGCAACCAGGCAACTCTTCCCCCAAGACCAGAGGACTTCAAGGCAAGCCTGACTGCAGGAGCAGCTGCACCCCCCCCCCCCCCGTTGGGTGAAGAGAGGATGAAACCATGAGAAGGCCAGCAACTCTCCCACTTGGGCCTCCCTCCCCCTTTCCCCCCCCCCCCCCTCAAAAAAAACTTAAAGAAACCTTACAAACTGTCTGGAGAAAGGAGGGGAAACCCCACCAACGATAGAATTGGGCCAATCTTCCCATATGGAACCTTCATGACTAACAGGAAATACTGTGTCTTTTGTGACCCCTCTTGACATCTCCTCACGCCCCCCCCCCCCCCCCGCCGGGGTCCCAACTCCCAGTTTGAGAAATGCTGATCTAAACAAAACAAACAAACAAACAATTACCTGTCGGAAATCCTGAACACTTAGATGCCCAGTCCCCCTTTCATCATGAAATTTAAAGGTACGTCTCATTGGTCTCCAGCAGTGCAGGATCTGAGGCTGAATTCTCATCATTGCATTGAAAAAGGTTGGTGACTGTGGCCCAGGGGTACCCTGACAAAGAAGGAAAGGTAAATTGGCCTTGATTAATATACATTGTAGCCATATTCAGGTATTCTTTGGATGAAGAAGAAAGCAGTGAGGTTATATTACTGACCCTATCCACCCCTCCCCCATAGACCTTTGCATTTTGGATGTCTGAATGCCGAATCTCATGAAGACTTTCCCAAATCAGATATACATTCCAACATATAAATATCCATGGGTTGGGATGAGCACAATTACCAGAAGTGAGGGCTTTATGTTCCCTTCTCCATGAACATAAATTCTATACTTGGACAGAGATTGATAGTTTTTACGTGCATCCTGCATATTTGAGGAAATCTAGATATACTTAGAAGCAGCAAAATAATATGTTCTAGCATTTAAGCTTGCCAATTAGTCACTGAAAATATTGTGGTATCATCTAAAGAACAAAGGTTTCTCCCTGCAAAAACAGATACTGGACTGTGGATATGAAACTTATATACAAAAAAATAGAAGCAAATAACCCGCACAGTAAACTGATGCATGTGACCAAGTTGATGAACAGAAACTGTAAAGGTATACAGACTGAATATCCATCATCCAGATGCTTGGGCCCAGAAATATTTTGGATTTCTGTGTTTTTTAAATAAATATGGAATACTTGTCATCTAAACTGCCATATAATCCAGTTTCTGAATCCAGATTATCTTATTGGAACTGGATTATATCACAGTGTAGACTCATATAACCCAGTTCAAAGCAGTTAAACTGTGTTATATGACAGTGTAGATCCAGCCTTAGAAGGATCCTGGAGAAATGGGACTAAAGTATAAACATAAAATGCATTTATGTTCCATATATACTGTTCTGGGACAGACGCACCAGGAGCTCCATCTTATCTTGCTATTTGTTGATTGCTGCATGTATTTTAAAGTTCTATGCCTTTGCAGTTAGATGGTTTTCCTTACTTTGCAGTTATTGGGTCAATTACTTGTCAATTATTATTAGGTTCCTTAGTCCCGCCCCCTTTTTGGGCTTTAGAAGGGAAGTGAGCCATTTTGTTAGTTAGTCTAAGCTAGGTTAACCAATGTATAGGATGTGTGTAACTTTCCCCTGTACAAAGGCTTCAACCTTTAAGAATTTCCAGGGGAGAACAGCTTTAAGAATCTCCAGGGAAAGAATGCCAGGGAAGCATTCCCATAGCTTTAAGCAATCCAGGGGAGAACAGCTTTAAGAACTCCAGGAAAACAGCCTTAAAGACTAAAGAACTCCAGCTGGAGAACATGCACTGCCTTGCTGGTAGGTCCACTCGGCATCCGAGAAGCAGTTCGGCCCGGTACTGGAGCACGCATCAGCGAGGGTTGGATTTTAGTCAGCCTGGGAGAAGTTAAAAAGGGGGAATTTTCCTTTAAAGAAAAGTTATTGAAGATAGTGCCTGTCCCCAGTGGACAAGACTGAGAGAACCAATACTTTATCAAGAAAGCCTTGCAATTCCTGTTTGATTTCATTAATAAAAGACTCACGCCGTCTGAAGATTCTTTTGTAGAGGAAGCCCCCGAGAACTTCTCCTTGGGCCCCCTGGCTTCTCGCTGGGCAAAGGTTACACATCCTATTCTTAAAGTCAACTAACTACAGGCCCAGCGGCGACAGAACATATACCTTATATGCATAATCTGGAGGTAATTGTATACACAATATTTGTAATACTTTGGTCCACTGAACCTTCAGAAAGCAAAGGTATCACTATCTCAGTCATCCATATGGAAATTTTGGAAGCACTTTAGATTTCAGAATTCCAAATAAGTGATGTTCAATCCTTAACTGAATTAGAATTTTCTATGGCAACATCATTTTCTCATCTTGCCCAAAAGATGTTTACCTGTAGTCGTGGATTTTGGATTACAACTCTTTGTAGAGGAGACAATTCCTGTTGTTTAAACAGCAAGACACAGCTTTGAAGGAAGTCACAGTAGGCAAATTTGCCGACACTCTTAAAATCATATTTGGTTACAAGTTGCTTCAACTCTTCTTTGGTTAAATTCAAATGAGCTTTTTCTATTACAGCTGAAATAAACAAAAGTGTTTGGACAAAAAAAGCATTGAAATTGACACTCTTTGACAGTTAATACTGGGCAAAGCAAAACAGTAATACTGCTAATTCACATTACTGAGGTATATTACTACAGCCAAATGAATATGCATGAACCATAGGGTTGGTAATACACATATCTAACTTGATTTTATTACTCTGCATGGCCTAGCACAGGGGTCCTCAAACTACAGCCTATGGGCCAGATACAGCCCTCCAAGGTCATTTACCCAGCCCTCACTCAGGGTCAATCTAAGTCTGAAACAACTTGAAAGCACATGACAACAACAACAACACTCCTATCTCATCAGCCAAAAGCAGGTCTACACTTTCCATTGAAATACTAATAAGTTTATATTTGTTAAAATTGTTCTTCATTTTAATTATTGCATTGTTTTTAAGTGTTTTTGCACTACAAATAATATATGTGCATTGTGTGTAGGCATTCATGTTTTTTTCAAATTATAATTCCGCTCTCCAACAGTTTGAGGGACTGTGACCTGGCCCTCTGTTTATAAAGTTTGAGGTCCCCTGGTCTAGTAGCAGATGAATGAACTCAGTCCAATGTTTTAGGTGATGAGAGACACCAAGTCCTGTCTATGGTGCGTGTTCTGAAATGATTCATTCATCCCCAAGCTTATACTGGATGCTTCAATCCCTTGAATGAAAATGTGTATATGATCAATACAAAGTTATCACATTATTTATTTACTAGACATGATCAAGAGAAAGCAGTCTACTGTGCTACATAGCTTCCATGCTGCTTCCAGCTTAATCTCAATTATTCATGGGTTTCAGCAGGTCAAACCGGATGTGATGAAGGCACCCATATGGCAGCCACCTCAAAAGTCAATATCGATGCTGGAATACGACAACATCTGAGCTCTGCGAGTGCAGTATTTTGTTTGATGAAGCAGAGAGTGTACAAAGATTGGGGCATTCATAGGCATATCCTATGAATGCCCTTCCAGCATAGTTGTATTTTTTTCATGTCAGGGGCAACTTGAGAAACTGCAAATTGCTTCTAGTGTGAAGAAGAATAGTTGTATAAACAAATGCAAGCTTAGTCAAGAATTCCCAACTTAGACGTATATGGGTTTAATGTTATTAAATTACATATCTGGGATTTTGAAGTGAGTTAGCTGTGTGGAGCTAGAAGGAGAGAAAATGGGATGCAATGTACATAATTACATCTGTACATGGTTAATTTAAGCCTGTATCCAGTCTGCGTATCTACCCTAACAACTAATTCAGGAATGCTGGGTGAATCTTTTGATTATAACTGGATTTCTATTGTCCATAGTGAAGACTTAAAGAAACAACCAACCTAAAAAGTCTTCTATAGAAATTTCTCCCAGGCGTTCAACATCCTTCTCTTTGCACTCCTTCAATATTTCTCTCCAACGGCGCTGAACAACTTTTCGGATTTTACTTTCAATTGGCTGACAGTTCAGAATGGGTGGTGTCTGAATTGCAGCTGTATGTGGCCTGCTTGGTTCTGAGGCCTAAAAACCAAAGACAGCTTTTAACACACCAACGACCAAAAGGAATGTTAATTCAATCGCTTTCTGACACTGGTGACACATACGCCATCAATACTCCCCATGTGAAGTTTGCTTTTTTAAAAGAATGGCGCTACTTACACAACTGAGATGAGCAAAATCTGTCTCCCTTCTCCTATCGCTGCAATTCCTACAAGTCAGGGACAGTATCCAGCAGACTGTTTTGTCAACAGACCAGGGACAAAAAGTCTTTGATTACTGTATTATTCCAAGTTAATTTTAAATTATGTTACTAGAATCTGAAATTTTCAGGGCCTCTTTGCACATGGCGCCAGAATTGCTACAGATTGCCATGGATTCCTGCGATTGCGGTAGTGCCCATCCAGAGGGCATGGGGACCCATTGCCCCACACAGTCCCACCTTCCCCCCTACCTCATCACACAGGAGGAAACATCCAGCAGCTGTCTCAACCCATAGTTATTTTTCGGTGGTGGCAAGGTTGTTGTTGTTGTTGTTGTTGTTGTTGTTTTTTGCCAGTTTTGCCACGGAGCAAGCTCAGAAGTACTTCCCTGGGGTGTGATGGGAGCTGTCGGGTGCCATAGCAAACCAGCTAAAATCTTGTTGCTACCACCAAAAAATACCCTGTGTGAAGAGGTCCTTAGTTTGTGGAACTGAAGATCCTCCCTAATAATGTGTACAAACTTTTGAAAGTCCACTTCACGGGACCATTTCAGTCTTTTCTTATGCTGATGAATTCATTTTCTAGACGTCACCACCCTGATATATGTTGGAGTTCGGCCTGTGATTGTGTTTCAGGATCAGGGTGCTTTGGATGTGGGAAGTGATGCCAATGAATTTCAAGATGGCAATGGTTTGGTCAATGATACTGATGCAGAGAAGGACCAGGAGATCCCTGTGCAAAGTGTAGTTTCCCATGAGAATGTCCCTGAAGATATAAGGTAAAGGTAGTCCCCTGACATTAAGTCCAGTCATGTCTGACTCTGGGGTTGTGGTGCTCATCTCCATTTCTAAGCCGAAGAGCCAGCATTGTCCATAGACACCTCCAAGGTCATGTGGCCAGCATGACTGCATGGAGCGCCGTTACCTTCCCGCCGGAGCGGTACCTATTGATCTACTCACATTTGCATGTTTTCGAACTGCTAGGTTGGCAGAAGCTAGGGCTGACAGCGGAAGCTCACGCCGCTCCCCGGAATCGAACCTGTGACCTTTCGATCAACAAGCTCAGCAGCTCAGTGCTTTAACCCACTGCGCCACCAGGGGCTCCCGGGGAATGATGGTGTACTCCCTGAATTGCTACCAGAGGGTTCCCAAGATTTGGGGCTTGAAAACAACTGGGCACCTGGCCCAGCTGCAAAACTTAATGGGCAAATAGATAGGCAGCAGGTGATTAGTCAAAACAGGCAAACCGAACAGTGGCTTTGGCGGTCTGCCAGAATCCGACAGAAAAAGATAAGGGAATCTCGATTAAAATTAAACCAATTTCTGAATGTTTGGAATAGTTTAACAAGGGGATAAAAGGTCCAAATATGGGAAATATAGTCAGGTGAAACATCGTTTGGAATCAAGTGTAGTTCTCATCCTTGTTTCATGGAAGCCTTGCTTGGAAGATTCTTGTCTAAGTATTTCTTGTTTCATGGTTTGGATTCTTGGATTGTATGAATGCCTACTCATGCCTTGGATTAATGTTTTCTGGTTTTCTGAATTATATTAGAGAAGTGTGGACTTCGTTTTTATGGACTTTGCTGAACTTTACCCTGGAGTATTTTTGGTCCTGCTTATCTTCTTACCTAATTGGATTTACCTATTTCCTTAAAGTGTTTTTTACTTTCCTGCTTTTTAATTATCTTCAATAAAAGGATTGTTTTCCAATCAACTGTGTGATGTTTACAGTCAGAGGGTTTTTCCTGTCCTGGAGTGCAACAATATAGACGATCAAACTCTAGTACAGTGTTTCTCAACCTGGGGGTCGGGACCCCTGGAGGGGTCATGAGGGGGTGTCAGAGGGGTCACCAAAGACCATCAGAAAACACAGTATTTTCTGTTGGTCATGGGGGTTCTGTGTGGGAAGTTTGGCCCAATTCTATCATTGATGGGATTCAGAATGCTCTTTGTTTGTAGACGAATTCTAAATCCCAGCAACTGCAACTCCCAAATGTCAAAGTCTATTTCCCCAAACTTGACCAGTGTTGACATTTGGGAATATTGAGTATTTGTGCCAAGTTTGGTCCAGATCCATCATTGTTTGAGTCGACAGTGTCTCTGGATAGAGATAAACTACAACTCCAAAACTCAAGGTCAATGCTCACCAAACCATTCCAGTATTTTCTGTTGGTTGTGGGAGTCCTGTGTGGCAAGTTTGGTTCAATTCCATTGTTGGTGGAGTTCAGAATGCTCTTTGATTGTAGATGAACTATAAATCCCAGCTACTACAACTCCCAAATGACAAAATAAATCCCTCCATCCAACTCCACCAGTATTCAAATTTGGGTGTATAGGTATTTGTGCCAAATTTGGTCCAGTGAATGAAAATACATCCTGCATATCAGATATTTACATAACAATTCATAACCAGTAGCAAAATTAGTTATGAAGAAGCAATGAAAATAATGGTTGGGGGTCACCACAACATGAGGAACTGTATTAAGGGGTCACAGCATTAGGAAGGTTGAGAACCACTGCTCTATGACATATTTATAACAGTTGCTCGCTGAAAGGGTGGAAAATATTTATTAAATCAATTGATTTTTAGATGATTTGTTGCGTTACTGGACCTTGGAATTTAAATGTGGACTTTACTTGCAAGCTGAATTGCTGAAGCCAAGTGTTAATTCTTGCTAGAAGGAAATGTGTCCTTGATGTTAAAGAGACTATTTAGTTACTTATGTGCAGCTTCGTGAATCAACAAATAGTCAAGAATTAGGGCTGGGCGGTTTCGTTCGTTAATTTCGTAATTCGTTAATAATTCGTTATTTTTCTTGATAACGAAGCGATAACAAACCATACAGGAGCAACTAAAAAACGAAACGAATTTTTAAAGCTATTTTGTAATTGTTTTGTAATTGTTTCGTTATTATTTCAGCTCCTGGCTGCAAAGGGGCCCGAGCAGGGGCAAGGAGAAGGGAAGGCAGGCGAGAGAGAGAGACTGAGCGAGCAAGCTCCCTTCCCGGCCTGGCTTCCTCCCCTCGCTCCCCTGGCTCCCCCCGCCCCCTTCTTCCCCCTTTTCCTGGCTCACCTGGGCATGCACACCCCACACATGCCCGGCCCGGCGCAGGGGTGGTCCGGCGTGCCCGCTCGGCGGGGCCCTGGCATCCGCCGCCCTGGGAAAGACCCCCGCCCAGCAGCAGCGGCAAGGCCGACGACGCTGCGGTTGCTGACTCCCCCGATCGCCTCCCCCGCCGGGAAAAGGAAACGCAGGAGGAGGCGCAGCAACGAGACGGAGGCGACCGCGCGGGTGGGAGGGAGGGAGAGGGAGGGAGGGATAGAGAGGGGGCGGACTAAAACTATTATTAAAAACTATTATTATTAAAACTATTATTTAAAACTAATATTTTCATGTTGCGCAGCCGCGTCCGCCATTTTAACGAATCGATTCGTTAATAATAACGAAATTTCGTAAATACCGAACTTTTAAAAAGGAAAATTTTGTAATTATTTTAAATATCGAAACGCAAAAAACCCCAAAAAACGAATCGATTTTAGAAACAAATTTTTGCGTTGTTACCCAGGCCTATCAAGAATGCTTCATTCACTGCTTTATTCTTACTGCTTCACTGCTGTTCATGAAGAACAAAGAAGATTTGCTTTATAATGGACTGAGGATACAATAAAAATAGATGGGTATTGTTTCCAGTACTCTTATCCCCCTTTATGTGTGTTCCTTCAAGTTGCCTGTTGACTAATGGTTACCGCATTAATTTCATAGGGTTTTCGTACTCAGAAAAAAGGTTTACCAGATCCTTTCTCTGAAAGCACCAGGATTGTGACGCAGCTGGCTGAGTGTCAGCTGTATTAAGATCACTCTGACCAAAAGGTCATGAGTTCGAAGCCAGCCTGGGTTGGAGTGGGCTTCCAACCAATTGTGTAGCCTGTTGTCGACCTTTGCAACCCGAAAGACAGTTGCATCTGTCAAGTAGGAAAATTAGGTACCACCTTGTGTGGGGAGGCTAAATTAACTAATTTATGAGGCCATAAAAAAAGACTCCAGCAAAGCACTCCAGCAAAAAGCATGCGGGGAATGCGGAAGTACTTCATCAGTGTCGCAGATGGACGATGAAAGCGACAGCTCCCCTGGCGGCCAGAAAAAGTTAAATAGCCTCTGTGTATGTCTGTATATGTTGTATGTCAAATTGGCATTGAATGTTTGCCATATATGTGTACACTGTAATCTGCCCTGAGTCCCCTGTGGGGTGAGAAGGGCGGAATATAAATACTGTATAAATACATACATACACACACACACACACATACACACACACACACACACATACATATACATACATACATTAATGCACATAGGTGAGAATATTGACACTTTTAACCAGACATCTTTTTTTTCAGTATTAATTCCTTTCCATCCATACAGACAACAAACTGGATAAAATGTTCAAATTGATGCCAGCAATTTGGCAGCCCACATATTTTTAAGAATACTAAACAAACAAATCACACAAGGGAGGTTCATCAAGACCCTGGTGTGATGCCCTAAATTGTTCAGGCCTAGGAATATACATTGGTTTTGCAATAGGTAATCCCCGATTCAAGGAAGAATGAGATACTCATGGCATGAACAGATCCAAGGAACCAGAATTGCATTTCCTATCCCTCCCCCATTCCAAATAGCTCAGATACCTCTTTGGCTGTGAAACACTTACTTTCTTTGCTATTGATGGAGAGGCTGCTGTTTGGGGCCGTGAACCTAACCGTGATCCAGGCTCAGCTGGTGTCACAGCTGCAACGGGTGTATCACTCATTTCTCGTCTTTCAAAGCTGAACTTCCTCAAAAACCAGGGATATTTCAGTTTTCCATTCTGATCAAGAGGTACTGTGTTCCAGAGATTCTCAAACTATTCAGGTAGAGGTCAGAGTATTAACATAGGCATAAGAAGGCAATGATTCTACAAAAAGTGCTGAAGACAGAACTCATTACTCTTTCATATGGAAACCTATATGGAAGGTGGTGAAGATCCTAGTCAGGGGGTTCTGTGGTTGTAACCTTGAATATGTTTTTGATGGATTTTAATTGTGAACTTTTAGTGCTGTGTTTGTGTTTAATTCTGTTTTAATGTTTGCATATTTGTATATTTTAAATTGTATAGTAATGCTTTTAAGTTACTTTGAGTTCCCTTTGGGGAGATAAAGCAGGGTTGTTGTTGTTCATTCGTTCAGTCGTCTCCGACTCTTCGTGACCTCATGGACCAGCCCACGCCAGAGCTCCCGGTCGGCCGTCACCACCCCCAGCTCCTTCAAGGTCAGTCCAGTCACTTCAAGGATGCCATCCATCCATCTTGCCCTTGGTCGGCCCCTCTTCCTTTTGCCTTCCACTTTCCCCAGCATCATTGTCTTCTCTAAGCTTTGCTGTCTCCTCATGATGTGACCAAAGTACTTCATCTTTGTCTCTAATATCCTTCCCTCCAATGAGCAGTCGGGCTTTATTTCCTGGAGGATGGACTGGTTGGATCTTCTCGCAATCCAAGACACTCTCAGAACTTTCCTCCAGCACCACAGTTCAAAAGCATCTATCTTCCTTCGCTCAGCCTTCCCTAAGGTCCAGCTCTCACATCCGTAGGTTACTACAGGGAATACCATGGCTTTGACTAGGCGGATCTTTGTTGCCAGTCTGATGTCTCTACTCTTTACTATTTTATCGAGACTGGACATTGCTCTCCTCCCAAGAAGGAAGCGTCTTCTGATTTCCTGGCCACAGTCTGCGTCTGCAGTAATCTTTGCACCTAGAAATACAAAGTCTGTCACGGCCTCCACGTTTTCTCCCTCTATTTTCCAGTTGTCAATCATTCTTGTTGCCATAATCTTGGTGTTTTTTTTTTTTGATGTTTAGCTGCAACCCCGCTTTTGCGCTTTCTTCTTTCACCTTGATTAGAAGGCTCCTCAGCTCCTCCTCGCTTTCGGCCATCAGAGTGGTGTCATCTGCATATCTGAGGTTGTTAATGCTTCTTCCAGCAATTTTCACCCCAGCTTTGCATTCTGTTCTGCATACAAGTTAAAAAGCTTTGTGTTCTGCATACAAGTTAAAAAGGTTAGGTGAGAGTATGCAGCCTTGTCGTACGCCTTTCCCAATCTTGAACCAGTCTGTTGTTCCGTGGTCAGTTCTGACTGTTGCAGGGTATAAATAAATAAATAGAAGAAGAAGAAGAAGAAGAAGAAGAAGAAGAAGAAGAAGAAGATGTGTGAGTTCAATCACTGCAGAGTGATTTTTTTTTGTCGTGTCAGGAGCGACTTGAGAAACTGCAAGTCACTTCTGGTGTGAGAGAATTGGCCGTCTGCAAGGACGTTGCCCAAAGGACACCTGGATGATTTGATGTTTTTTTATCATCCTTGTGGGAGGCTTCTCATGTCCCCGCATGAGGAGCTGGAGCTGATAGAGGGAGCTCATCCGCCTGCTCTCCCCAGATTCGAACCTGCGACCTGTCGGTCTCCAGTCCTGCCGGCACAAGGGGTTAACCCACTGCTTCAGTCACTGCAGAGTGATGAAAGAGGTGTATAGAAGAACCTCTACTTAAAAGTATTCCAACTTAAGAGTGTTTTAGGTTAAGAGCTATGGCCTGGCCTGGGTTTTGCTTTGATATAAGAGCAGCCTTTTGAGTTAAGAGCTAGAGCCAGAAGGAATGCTACTGTCAAAATACAGGGCTTTAGAGTTTTAAGGAAACAGCCTCTATGCCTCGTGCCTCCTACCCTTATGCTCTTGTCCGCTTTGGGAGATTGCTGTCTGCTTTGCTCTTGTCCACTTTCAGAAACTTTGGGTTAGTTAGTTTTGTGTGCTTTTTATTCCTGGTATGTTTGGCTTCATGAAGAGAGAGAGAGAGAGAGAGAGTAAGAGAGGGAGGCTGGAATGAGTACAGTATGAAGAAAATGATGCTTCTGCCTCTTCACCTTGTGCTTTGTGCTTCCTTGCCAGAACTTTGTGCTTCTAGAATCATAGAATCATAGAGTTGGAAGAGACCACATGGGCCATCCAGTCCAACCCCTGCCAAGAAGCAGGAATATTGCATTCAAAGCACCCCTGACAGATGGCCATCCAGCCTCTGTTTAAAAACTTCCAAAGAAGGAGCCTCCACCACACTCCGGGGCAGAGAGTTCCACTGCTGAACGGCTCTCACAGTCAGGAAGTTCTTTCTCATCCAGTTCTTGTGGGTTTTAGTTTGAAGCCATTGTTCCCCGTCCTAGTCTCCAGGGAAGCAGAAAACAAGCTTGCTCCCTCCTCCCTGTGGCTTCCTCTCACATATTTATACATGGTTATCATGTCTCCTCTCAGCCTTCTCTTCTTCAGGCTAAACATGCCCAGCTCCTTAAGCCGCTCCTCATAGGGCTTGTTCTCCAGACCCTTGATCATTTTAGTCGCCCTCCTCTGGACACATTCCAGCTTGTCAATTGATGCCATTTTTTATATTGTTCCATGTGAATGTGTGTTTATACATTTATATATTATTTATAAAGTACATTTTCTTATTTAAAAACACTTAACAAAAAAAGGGGGTTCGGGGAGCCAGAATGGATCAGTAGCATTTCCATGCATTCTAATGAGAAAGCTCTCCTTGAGAGAAGAGTGTTTTGAGTGACAGAATGAATTAAACTCTTAAGTCAAGGAATCACTGTATTCTGGACCTGTTGGAAGCCAAACCTGTTCTATAACTGAGGGTAGGTGTAGTAAATAAGATGTAGTAAATAAATAAGTATCCCAAGTTCTAGCCCTGATACTTAAGAGCAATGCCTGGGCCATCTGACACCTGAGTTTGCATCTTTTCTCTGTCTCAACTGCATTCTTATGAGACCTTTAAACATGCAAATTCAAAACAATCTTAACAGATTAGGGAGATGATTGGCCAAAACTAACCAAATGAAGTTCAACAGTGACAAATGCAAGATACTCCACTTAGGCAGAAAAAAAATGAAACACAAAGATACAGAATGGGGGATAATGCCTGGCTC